TTATACATTTGTACCAATCAATGTTTCCAAATTAACTCAGAAAGAATTCAAGATTTGTTTATGATGTTAGCTCACCCAAAGAGTCTTAGATTTTTTCTGCCTTTCCTAAAACAAAGGGACTGATCTCTAAAAGCCAAAGGTTCTTACCTTAACGACAGAGTAGATTCTCCTGGGAAGCTTTTAAAATACAGGGGCGTGGGTCCCACCCAATCAATTCTGATTCAACTGGTCCAGGATGGGGACCAGGTATACAGTATTATTTAAAGTCTTTCCAGGTGACTCTAATATGCAGGCATAATTGAAAACCACTGATCTTAGCTAAGAATAACAACTATAGTAGCTAATATTTACTAAGCATATATTATGTGTTAGGTACTCTTCTTAGCACTTTACATGTTACTAATTCATTCTCTATTTTACAAATGAAAAAACAGGTCAGGTAACTCACCCAAAGTCACACATATGCTAACAGCAGAGAGAGGGTTTAATACCAGGCAGTTTGGATCCAAAACCCATGCTTTAATCACCATGATATACTGCCTCCTAAGTGTGAATTATGCGTGAATTATACCTGTATTCTTCAGTTGCAAATAAAGTGATCAGGAAAAAAACAAAACAAAGAAATGAGATAATTAATGTCCTCCTTCTTGGAAGCAGTACATCCTGCTTGCAAAAGTACATCCTGTTGCAAAAGTACCAACAAGCTTATTTGGAGAGTAAATAAACAGACAAGAATCTTCTCTTCCCAAAAGGTTCAAATTGAGATTTCCACACATGGTCCACACAAATAATTTCTTACATATCATCCTATACAACCTAGTTATTCAATGTCAAGTATCAAACATTGCTTTAGCTTTAAAACTCAGGGCAGTGATGTACATTTACAAGAAAAATTCCTACCTATTTCAGTTCTGCTAACTCCAATGCCATTATAAATTCTCAAGTAATTAAAATGACAAGAATCAGAATCTTCAATGTCAAAGTCACCAAATTTGATGCGCACTCTCTCTCCCATCTTTACACGGATCTCCCATTCACAAACGGTGCTGTTGGGATAGGTCTGTGGGTAGTTTATGGACATGAGGGTCCCACTTTCAGGGCCTAGTACAGTATGTCCACATCCATCACCTTAAAAAAAAAAAAAAAGAGTTAAAAGAACGATAAATTATTATTACATCTTTAACTTATACTATAAATAATCAGGATTTTTTTGTGAAAATTTAAAAATATGTATGACAGATATTTTATGCCACCAATACTTTCCTTACACAAGATAAAAGGGATGATAGAGTTCTTAATATATCTACTCACAGGAGCCAAGAGAGAAGCCAGGTAAGGTCAAAATGATCAATGATTATCCTTATTCAAAGAACTTTCCAATCTGAATAAACAGATTTATTAGCTTAACAATATATTTATACACATATCACAATTCCAATCTTTAAAAGAGTATTAATTCATAGTAACTGTTCAAAGACAACATAAACTATAAAAATAAAAGTATGTGATCAGCTTCATCCATTTATTTATAAATATAAACCTTTCTAAAATCTGTGAGAAGACTAAAGGTTATGCAGATTACTGATCACAGTATTACAAGGCATTCATCCTTGAAGGCATTAAAGCAATATTTAATGAAATTTAATTTTACATTCTACTGAAATTGGACTTTGGAGTACTCCCCCTCCTAAAACCTCACTTTTTCCTACCAAATGAGGAGGAAAAAATGGCATTTGTACATCATGAAACATTAGGAAAAATAACCTTCCTATCTTGGTAGCAGCAGGATTTGCTCCAGCAATTCGTTCTGCAACTGGATATGGGGACTCAGGTAACTTAACATAGTACTATTATTTGCACCCTTCCCTTTCTCATAAAAAGTGGTATTTGGGCACCTAAAAGAGGCATGCAGTGGTAAGAAGTTTCAGGTGCTGCTCCAATTGTACCAGTCAGCATTCCTTAATGATGGGATTCAATGATGAATCTCTTTTAAATCTCTAAAAGGAAGATGGGTACACTCTACTAAAACGATAGTATTTTTTCGTTCAAAAATAGCCACCTATAATCACCTTTGGAATAATTCAGTACTTACACAAAAAAACTATACTAAAAGTGACAGTGCTGAGTTTTATTTATTTATTTTTTAAATGTTTATTTTTGAGAGAGAGAATGATCAGGGGAGGGGGAGAGAGTGAGAGCGAGAGAGAGAGAGAGAGAGAGAG